AACACGGTGAACGGAAAAATCGCTTAAATAACGCGTCGAGAATATTACGAGGGGTTGTAAATACTTATATCGGTAATACACGGCGAAATAGTTAATAACAATAGAACGTTAACGATATAATCGTAGCGGCGGCACTAAACCCTAGAGAAATTATACTAATAGTAAGAATGATAACGACGATAGTTCGAAACGCGAGCGATGAATGTGCTTAAGTGTGTAACGTGTACGTGTGGTCTTAGTGTTACGCGTGTATAATTTCGCATCTAAACGGGGTACTACGTCTCTTAAAGCTATCCTTTTAATTCTCTATCATCTATCTACCTATCCCGAGCATGTCCGAGCCAAGCTCCGGAGCTGGAGAAGCTCCTTCACCGCGCTTTGCCGGTGTCGCGAAGCTCCAACGTGTGTTCCCAGAAGAAATCGAAACAATAATAATGTATCGCTTCAAGCCAATCGAACTGCTTAATCGAATTCGCGTAAGCTCGATCCGTTGTGCCTTTTAAAAAAGAAACGAATAGAAATATAACGTTTACGTGTTACGAATTTCGCGCACTTATTCGGCTTCGAAACGAACTTTCGAAAGAAATATTCGCGGTTCTGCGTGGAAAGAATTCAAGAAGTTCCTAAGAATTGCTGAATAAAACGTCGGTAATCCCGGGATCTTGTAAGAGACGAACGGCAATTTCCATATTCTCTGCATAAACTTTAAAATTTGAAGTTTAACCGGAATAAGTGCGTCAATGCCTGTTACATTTAGTTTTGGTGTGTTCATTTATGCCATGCGATGCACTTTGGGGTAGAGACGTTACCTCTAAGAGGCCGATGGTATCATGAACGCTAAAACATTACTGTTTTGTTTTATACCAGATTACGCGTGAACTTATGGTTTGCCCGAATGAGCTATCAAGGTAGCCGGAGTTTCGCTCTAAATACGAACCGGCAACGGGCGCGCGAAACTTGGCTCTACCCGTGGACATCTCCGATCTAATAATTCATGGTGCGCAACGGTCATTGTGTGTCTAATTTCTTTTCCGCCGCTTCCTTGTTATACAACAGACGTATCTTTTCCCGCGTTCATCGAGAAAAAAAGTCGTTGAAATCTCTCCTTCGATCACGATCGAAAAGATGGTCGCGCGGTTCTTCCAGTTCCCGGCTGTATACACACGCACACGCACGCACACACTCACGCTGGTTGTTCGATTCGAGTCCGCGGAGGCCAGGGGGCTGGGCGATCGCGAGAATCAGGACTAAGAAGAAAAAAACAGTGTGTTGACACGCGCGCGCGCGGAGAAAAACCGTGGTTGGACAACGATTTTTGTACCTACGAATATACTCTATCTATAAACCTATCTAACTATATAGAACACTATTTTATACAATTAGTCGGGCGACTTACGAAGCCTGCTCTTCGATGGAAATCGATCTAATATTTACAAAGTTCCAATGAGAAAGGGGCAACGAACAACGAGAGAAGAATACTGTAGAACTTGAAGAGAGCAAGGACGGGCCCGGGACAACGCGCAACGTCCCGAGGACCCCCTTTTTCCAGGCGACGTAAACGGTCCCCCTATTTTTTTCTTTTAAAGCTGCAAAAGCGACACGTTGTCCCCCACCGCGTTTTTCCGGAGATTTTTTGGTTGACTTCGACTATATAAATTGACGGTTAGACCAGCAGGAACCGACAGCGGACGCGTATCTCACCGCTGCCGGTTCCGACTTCTAAAGTCTCGTCTTATCAATTCGCTATACAATTTTGGCTATATTTGGAACAAAACCGCTTGCACGCTGCTTGAACGAATCTCGCGATCGTATAGTCTTGTCGCGTTTCGAGTTACTTCGGTCGACCGGTTCCCATACTTATTTTTCCTACGAATATTCCCCTTCTTTTCAATTTTGATTACGATGTTCTTCGAAATACGCGGACTAATAAATAATTCTCTTGTCCGAGCGACCTCGATCGCGAGTGTCAAGCCAGCGAGCGCGCGCGAGCACGCGTACTGTGGTTGCGCACAGCTTAAAAAACCTTGTCTAAAAATTTTCGCTATTTTTCATATGTGTATATGTGTATGTGTGTGCATGTACGCGTGTGTGTGTGTGTGTTGTGTGTGTCGCGTGCTAGAATGAACGTGCAGCCTCTCTACCGAGGTTCCCCGACAGTCGACAATAAATACAGAACTACGAACGTAACCGGAGATTAACTGTAACTGCACGATACACGGTTTCACCACCCACCCCCTCCGAGTCGCGCGCGACCACCTCGGAGGGGGGTTTGACTTTGAAATTCGTTTACCTAGAAAATTTCCTCCTAAAGCTGTACAGAACACGTCTCGATCGCGACGAACGCTAAGCTTATACCCTAGAAAACGTATCATCCTTAACGACGAGTGTCACGATTACCCTAAATTCGAATCATCTACTTGGAATCGCCAGCCCCTGGCCACGCGAACAGCGGTCATCTCTCGTCGCGCCCCGCGGACCTTCACGGTTTTGCATAGTCTACACAGGATGAAAACCTTTTCCTCATTCTTTCTCTATCCTTCTTCCTCCTCGTTCGTCCTTCTCTCTACATCCGTGAAAAGCGATCATCATCATCAGTGTTTTCAGTCTTCTTTGTTTACGCTGTGGTCTCCTGCAGGCCGTAGTAGTGGACTCGCATGTTCTCGATTGCTCTACACCACTCCAACGCGAATCCCTCGGGATCTTCGAGATAGTAGGTTCTGTTTGGCTGTAACCAGAGAAGAAAAACAAGTTGACGCGGATTCCTATTGCTGAAATGACGCCGCGGCGTAAACAAGGGTAATCGAACCGGGCCAAGGCCTGTTTTCCTACTATCGGCGCATAACTTATTTTTAATCGCGGTAAACACCGCCGGTAAACAAATTCATGTAGACCTGGACAGTCTTGGTATATAACGATCGCTCGGAATGTTATTTCAGTCTCCAACTTTCGACTCCGATCGTACGCGTGTCCGTAGATAGTGTCGAAAGGAAGAGTTGGCAAATATCGCGTGGTCGGAACTTTAGCAATTTATCTAGCGTTCTTGCGGGACGACATTTATCAAGAAAATAGAAAGACACTCACTGTGTGGACGAAGAAGATCTTGAAACTCTTCGGCTCGACCCTTAGCTCCGGGCTCCAGGGTATCTCACCCTTGAGCACCATGTTCACAGGATCGACGTAGTATAGGTGTGGCCCGGTGGTAAGCAGCAGCATCCTCCGTCTGGCGAAGAGGCCTTTCCTCTTGTTGACGAATCCCTGCTTGAGTATCAGGTTACCCTCGACGAACACGTCCCACTGGTTGGAGGTGTGCTGCTTCTCCAGCCGGTTCCTGATCTCGTCTGGCGTCAGGTCGGCGATGTTACCATCGGCGTCCGTCGTCCGTCTCCTCGACTGCTTCTCGACGACCGTATTGGTCGGCGCGGGCTTCTCACGCTCGGTGGTCACGTCCTCGTCGTCGTCGTCGTCGTCGTCGTCCTCGCCGATACCCAAACCGAGCAACCTGGTCAGCTGTTTATCGTCGAGGCCGGGCTCCAGGTGATCGGGAACCCTGTACTGCGACCTGAGCTCTTCGTGTTCCGACGTGCCAGGCAGGTAGGGGTAGATCGGCGGCGGTGTCTGCTCGTGGAGGGTCTCGAAGTCGACGCCCTCGAAGAATGGGTGCGCCCTGATGCTAGGGTACCCGGCGCCATGCTCGTCCTGGGCGCCCAGCCTCTTGCTCGGCACGAGCACCAACAGCTGGCTGACCAACGATCTCGCCAGCTCGCAGAAGCCGTCGGGTATCTCGTACTCGAGCCTCAGGATCTTTTGGAAAATCATGTACTCGCTCCTGGAGCGGAACGGTGGCAGGCCGGCGACCATCTGGTAGACTATGCAGCCGAGGGCCCAGAGATCGGAGGCTCTGCTCGCTGTCTTGTCGGTTAAGAGTTCCGGGGACACGTATTGGGCGGTACCAACGAACGAGCCCCTACGTTCTCTTCTGTAATGCTGCTGCTGTTGTTGCTGCTGCTGTTGCAGGTCGTCCGTGGTGGTATGCGTCAACGCCGTCTCTGGGTCCTTGAGGATCTTCGCGCTACCGAAGTCGGTGATGAGCACGTGCATTTTCTCGTCCAGCAAAATGTTCTCCGGCTTGAGATCCCGGTGTATGATCCCGAGACCGTGCAGGTACTCGAGGCCACGGAGGATCTCCGCCGAGTAGAATTTGGTGCACTCGATGTCGAAGGAGCCGACCTTGTTGATGTAGGGCAGCAGCTCACCGTTCTTCGCGTAGGATAGGACAAAATAGAGTCTCTCGACGTCTTGGAACGTACAGAACAAGCGCACGAACGAGTGTTTCGCGCCCGCGAGCATGTTCAGCACTTCCTTCTCCCGCTTCACGTACTCGGTCTTCTTCTCCTTGATGATGTGACGCTTGTCGCACACTTTGATCGCGTACTCCTTGCTGGTGTGGATGTCCTTGGCGAGGTAAACCTGGATTACATAGAATCACGGTGAGTCTTGGTTGGTCTCTCTTTCCTCTCAGGAACTAAAGTAATTATCGGAATCTGGAGGGGGCCGTTTAATCCACGGTGACCGAATTCGAGTACAACCGTGTACACCGAAGGAGACCTCCTCGGTTTAAGTCGACTACGGCGGTTAGATCGATACTCTTTCGAACTAGGGGCCGCCACGCGGAAAAAAAGTTTCAACGGCATGGATGGAAAGTTTCGTAACGAGGGGGAGCGAAAAAAAAGAAGTTTGAGAATCACTGGAGGATTAGAGGGGAAACTCGCTTCTCTTTCCCATTCCTCGCCGGTGTTAATTCGGAGCTTCTTAATGATTTAATCGAGTTAATGGGATAATACACTTACGGTGGAGAAGCTACCCTCGCCGATCACCTTGCCAAAGATGAAGTCCTTCGGAGTTCGCTTGTGCGTTGGCGGGTTGATGGTGGTAAGGGCCGGGTTCGTAGTCGGCGAAACCCGGGGCGCCAGGGTGTTGGCTGGCGCAACCACACCATTGGTCACGTCGTTCGTTGGTGGAGACATTTTGGACACCGGCCCCTCCACCGTTACTGCCGGCTGTGGCGAAACGGTAAGCGCCTGGTTCGCCACACGCTGCAACAAAAACATTCGAGGCTTAATTACCAAACAGTTCCACGGCCCTTATCTTGTATCTTATTCTAAAAAGGCATCATTCCTTTTCGAATCCCACACAACCGCAATAACGTTTTTCTCTAAGCCCTGAGCACACCGATTCCACGGTTATTTCGTTTTCGTATCCCCACGGTTTAATATCTAACGTCGCTAATGGATAAAATGGCCCTGACGCAACCTCGAACAACGACAGCACAATGAGATTAAACCGGGTCTCAGAGTTGTTTGCAATCTTTCAAAGCAAGACGTTCGTGGGACACCGAGAAGGCACGAACTCGCGCGTCCGGGTGCTTAACTCCTCTCATCCGCCGACGATCGTCCGGAAATCAGGCGCCGGAAGTGACGTCACCGAGGCCGACACGTGGCTACGTCGTGCAGGTCAGGATGACGGGTTTAGGCCGACGGACCGTCGGGATACCGAGCGATTCGGTGTGAAACGAAAGCGGAGAAACGGCCAGCGTGCGTGAGCGCGTGTGTAAATGCGTGACTGGTTGCGTGCGAGCCGAGTTCGTATCCCACGCACGTTGAAATATTTCAAGGCTGTGCGGGTCAACCCATTGCGAGAGACTAATTGACGATATCTGGATCGAAGAATCGTTCTAGCGCGAATAGTTGCCCCAGATTCGACGAACTTGGACGGGCGAACGGATAAAAGTGGCAGCGGACCGTTCCACCGCCTGGGAACGTGGCGCGCGCAATAAACACGAGAACAACGCCGAACAGCGGCGAAGCAGCCGTCGATGTTTGGGACACCTTATCGCGATGCTGCATTCAGCACGCTCGCGGACCTAGTTTCCCCATGAGAGGGACAATAAAATCGAAAGACGACTCTCGGGTCACGAAAGGTTCCTCGACGGGTTCTCCGAAGAGTCAGGGTCCCGCAAATATTTGCCGAAGGCGGTTAATGCCGACCTTCGGCTGCGACAGTGGCCCCCCGATAACGGAAGAGCCGACCTCCCCGATCGAAAGGGCCACTTTGTAATTGGAAATCATTTCCTCGTGAAAGGCTAAATCGCTCTTACATATTTACGTCTCGAGGCGGCTCTAATGGAAGAATGATAGGGGATACGTCTTCGGCGTATAATTGGCCGCACGGAAACGTGCGCGTCTCGCAACAGATGCCTTTCTACCTGCGCGCATAATGGGGTCAACGAATCCGGGAGCTGATCAGACGACGACAACGAAGCTCTGACTCTCTGCGGTCATGAAATTCAATGAAACCTGAAGGGTGCGACGCGAGCGACAGAAGGGTTTCGGAGAGAAAAAGAGAAAGAGGAAGATTGTACGCAGGCCACACACGAGGGTGAACACATACAAGCGCGATTTTTAAACGGCGATCGTTTCATTTCCGGGCCGAAAGATGATCGCTAACGACCCTTTCTCGCCGGCCGTTTCCTTCGGTCCCATTACGACTGCACACTTCCGTCGAAAGACGGATCCCTGCGTTATATACCGATGCCCCTCACAAAAGAAAGGAACGAGTTTTCATCCTCGAACAAGGGAATCCGGATGATCCTCGAAATCTGGCTGCACTCTGCCACCGCCCGGTCTGGCCGCCGCCTCACCCTGTCGGGGAGCGAACGGTCTTTGACCGTTTCTGACCGGTGTAACGCTCTTTGACTCTCCAAACAAGCTCCGGCAGGCTTTCACGGGAGGCCGGGTTGCAAGAATTTGATGTTAACGGGACGTAAATATCGATGACATCTTAACGAGCCCCCGAAAACCAAAAGGCCAGAGGAGGAGGGCGAGGCGCGAGGCGGGCCCGGGTCAAAGTACCGCGGCACCGCGGTGAATAACGCCGAGATAGGGGCGATAAATACACAACACGGCTCAATTCCGTGCTGCACGGACGTTCGCGGAGTTGATCATCCATCACTTTTCGTGAATGCCGGAAGGAAGGTCTTGGAGAGGGTTGCGACACTCGTGGCCTCCGACCCTCCGACTAGTACTTATTAGGGGTGGGTGGACTGGTTCCCCAAAGTTGTACGTAACCTGACCGTTCCGTTCGAAAAGAGACAGGCCGCGATACCATCTGAAGCGAATCTATTAGCTACACCTATGCCAGCCGCAGTGCTAAAATTGTGGGAGTTGGTACCTCGAAGGACACGAGGGCCAAGAAGAATTGGCGGGCTATCGAATTTCCAAAGCGATTCTCGACCCTTGGTGTCTGGCTGTCCGAGCAGGCAACCCCTGCTTGTAAGGGTTCGACGAATTAATCAAGGAAACCGTGGGCAACTGGTCCGAGACATCGGACACCGCAGGAGGAGACATGCGGCAGCCGGCCAGGAAGAAGAAGGCGGGATTTATATTTAGAACGATGAAAACGCAAGTCGGCAAGGCCCTTTCTTTCATCTTCTTCATCCACCTTTCCTCGTTCTTCTTCCCAGGCCGGTTACGAAGCGGGCCCCACGGCGTCAACCATCCGTGTCAGGCCGTCGACCTCGTCGAGCATTTGCCCGAGAGCCACCCAGCAGCGGCCCTACTCCCTCTGCTTGGCTGGCTTTCGATTTGCCCCGCTAGTTTATTTATTTGCTTATCTATTCCTTGGTCCCCTGACTCCCGCCTTCCTCTCCCTCGACTAGCCGTCTCTCTCTCTCCCTCCCGATCGTTCTACCTCTATCTCGATCTCTAACGCTGCTCCTCGACAAGGGATAACCACCGACGGATACCGCAGGACAGAGACCAGAGCGTCGATCGCTAGATATCAACGAGAAGTCTCGGTCGGAGGGGACTCGGATAATCGATATACCGACTAACGTCCCACCAGACGACCTCGCAATTTGCTTAGATCGTAGATATGTACAGGGTGAGGCACTCGGAATTACCGCCTCGATCGCCGTCGGTGGCGTTATTTGCGCGAAACGGCGGACGGAATTAGTTTAAACGTTCCGAGCACCGGTCCCACGTGAAAGCGTTATTGACTCGAAAAATAAATCCGCCCGCGAACTCTCAAGCGCAGCCTTCTGGGAGGCATTCGGACGACCCTGCGACACTTTCGTTCCCTCGAATAAGACTCGAGGACGCGGCGATCCATTTTCGTCGGGCGAGAGAGCGGTAGGCGACCGCAAAAAGTGCGACAACGCCGGGCAAATTTGCCGGAAGGAAGCAGAGGCGAGTGTCCCGCGACAACGGCTTCCTCCCGGTCCTTTCGAAACGAATAACTTCGGCCGCGCGTCCGTTAAACTCTCGCCCACCCCCTGGCAACCCCCGCCGCCGGCCCCTCTTTCTCTATCTGCCCGGCATCCGCGGGCTCTAAGTATGAACATGCTCCTCCTGCGATCGCTGAATCACCCTGTACATACACACAAGCCAGCAGCATTCCAACGGACATTCTAATTTTAGCCTCACTGGTCTCGTCTCGTTCTCTCGCGGAGGCGCGCATTCTCTCGGAGTCCGCGCGCCTGTCGTAACGCTCGATCCGGCCCCGTCTCCTTCTCTCTCTCTCTCTCACACTCTCTTTCTCTCTCCCTCTCTCTCTTGCTCTATCTTTCTCTGTCTGCCGCGAGCCGAGAGAGCTTGTGTTTTTCGTGCAGGCTGCCGAGTGCTGCCCTCTGCCGATGGTACGCGACACTTTCCTCTCTTTCCTCCTTTCCCTTGGCGCGCCGCGCTAACCCAGGAAGACGAGGGACAGAGAGGGAACCAGGAGAGAAGAGTAGGAGGGGGTTGGAGAAGGGACAAGGAGGGCCGGGAACGAGAAAGAGAAAGAGACAGAGAGCAATGATCGTAGAGACCCTTCTCCTCGCCCTTCTCTCACTCCACGCACCCACCCCCTGCCGCGCGCGCGACCCGACGCATCGGCTTTTCGCCGGCTACCAGAAGGGACTACGCCTATTGGCGCAGGCGGGCAGCACTTTTGCCCGTGAATGAGATGTTTTGCATTCGCAGACGCTGAGAAACGTGTCGCGCGCGCTTGCTCCGCGACTAAATTGGAACACGCCACACCGGCGCGGCCGCGGTGCCCGCCCGAGAGAGAGACTAATAAAAGGTCTCCTTAGAGGAGAGCGGCGTCGATTTTCGTCGAGGGTCGATACCACCGCGTCTCGGCGCGAATGAATTCTTTCATTCCGTGCACCTGATACGCACGCACGCTTCGCTTTCGGCCGACTGATATACGCGCGTCATCCAAGCGGGAATATGCTTTTGTTAGTTGCGTGCCAGCGGAAACGTTTTAGGGACAGTCGGTCTGCTTGCAAATGGTACAGTTGAGAATTAGAAAAATGCTTGGGGATGGAATGTTTGCTTCGAGTTCGATGGCATTCGTTTCAAGCATTATTCTATGCTATATGCTTTGAATAGGGCTTGCGGTTTACTAGACAGCAACAGTCGTTCTCCAATATTGTTCTTCGACTTTGTTGCTAGACTGGGTGCATCTGGTTAAGATGTGACTACTTCGAGTAATGTACTGGGGAACTGATGACAGCAACGTTTCTAATACTCGTATTACGTTACCGTCATACTTCGTATCTGAGACAATACAGCAACGTGCAGAAAGAAAAACAGTGCAGGGTAATGTCTACGTTTTGTCAGGCTAGTCTATGCAAAGGGTTGTTAGGCGGAGCGGAATCTAACCAGCTAGGAGGGGAAACTAGTTCGTCGAGGCTGAAAGCTGTCCTCGAATCACGCGAATAACGGCAGTTACACAAACTTGCGAAAAAAAAACCAGCGGAACCGTAAACACCGTCGATTGATCGGCCGCGTCTCGCCTGAAATTATGCCACAACCCTATCATCGAGGAACGATCTCGAGCACGGATATCGGCGCAGATCGATAAATACGAAATCTACTGTTGCGGCGCAGGATTCCGAATCATAATAC